AAAAAAGAAAGGAGATGAAAGTAAAAAGGCAAACCACAAAGACACACATTAGCACACTCCACCCAGACATACACACACACTTGATCTCCCTGAAGACTTACATGTTCAGTATTGCAGCCAGTGACTCTTATTCCAGCACACAAAGCATTAGCTGCCTTCTCATTATTAAACACCCTGAACTGTACAAATCCTGCAACAAATTCACCTGAAAAAGAAAAGGCAGAGAAAGGATTGGGATATTCCAGGTATGAATTAGAAACAACTCACCAGTCCAGGAATTCCCTTTACCAAAAGCTCAGGCTACAGTCCTATATTACAGTTCATCCGTGGAGTCCAGCTCATCTGTGGCCAGTGGCTAGTGGACAAGGCTGGAAGAGAGGTCTGCCTACCTCCAGAGACCATAGAGAATCAAGATTGGATCTCACAAGATGACCATTGTCTGCCTAAGAACAAAGGGGAAATTAAACTCTACAGAAAGATCATCAGAAAGACCTCAAAAGATACAATGGAAATGAACAATTACCAAATGTGGTATATGTTTGTTTACACATTTCTCACCCAATTACATCTGTTGGTTTTCCCTACAGTCACTGGCTTACATTGATATAACAAATGTAAATAGTAATGACTTTGAATTTTCCCCTCAAAGACTTAACTTCTGTGGCTTTATTATACATACAACTATAACCTTTTTTAAGCTAGTTATTCAGTTATACTTCATAATAAAACTAAATTTTTGTCGCCATTTTACTAGTTCTAATTTCCTGTGAACATTAGCCCAAACACTTCATTAACTACTACATGAAATCATAGGAGCTCTGGTAGCACCGTAGTGATTACAAGTCAGACCGCTAACCTCAAGGTCAGCAGTTTGAAACTACCAGATGTTCCACAGTAGAAAGATGAGGCTTTCTGATCTCATAAATATTTACAGCCTCAGAAATCCCATACAGGGTTGCTATGAGTCGGAACCAACTCCATGGCATACCACCACCACATGAAGTCATAAAGTGTGGATCAGAGTATAAGCTTTGGCGTGAGTGCCTGAGTTTATAATCTGAATCTACATCTTATCCCACCACTCATCCGTCAATTTGTCATGCTTTGGTGGCATTCATGTTGCTATGATACTGGATTCTATGCCACCAGTATTTTAAATACCAGCAGAGTCATCCATGGTTGAAAGGTTTTAGCTGAGCTTCCAGATTAAGAAACACTAGGAAGAAGGAGGCACAAACTATTTCTGAATGCTTAGTCACAAAAACCTTAGTAATAGCAGCAGAACATTGTCAGATACAGTGCCAGATGATGAGCCCCTCAGGTAGGGGAAGAACTGCCTCCTCAAAGTAGAATTAACTGTGATGACATGAATGGAGTTAAGCTTTCAGGACCTTCATTTGCTGATAGCACACAACTCAAATGAGGAGAAACAACTGAAAACATCCAGACTATGGAATAGACCATCAAGTGCTCATATGCAAGTTCAAGCTGAAGAAAAGGAAACAAGTTCACAAGAGCCAAAATACGACCTTGAATATACTCCACCTGAATTTAGAAACCACCTCAAGAACAGATTTGATGCGTTAGACAAAAACACTAATAGCTGAAGACCAGAAGAGCTGTGGGATGATATCATGAATATCATTCAGAAAGAAGCAAAAAACAGGAAAGAAATAAAAGACCAAAATGATGTCAGAAAAGAATCTCTTGAACACAGAGAAGCCAAAGCAAATGAAAAAATAGAGAAAATAAAAAGCTGAACAGAAAATGTCAACAGGCAGTCCAAGAAGGAAAAATAAAGTATGAAATGTGCAAAGACCTGGAGTTAGAAATCCAAAAGGAAAGGCAAGCTCAGCATTTCTCAAGCTGAAAGAACTGAAGAAAAAATTCATGCCTTAACTTGAAATACTGAAGGATTCTACAGGTAAAATATTGGATGATACAGAAAGCATCAAAAAAAAGATGGAATGAATACGCAGAGTCATTGTACCAAGGAAATGGTTGATGTTCAACCATTTCAAAAGGTAGCATATGATTAAGAACCATGGGTACTGAGGAAGAAGTCCAAGTTACACTGAAGGGATGGGCAAAAACAAGAAACCAGGAATTGAAAGACTGCAAATTAAAACTTCTCATCAAACTGATACAACAATGGAGGCATTCATTCATCTATGCCAAGAAATCTGGAAGACAGCTATCTGGCCAACTGATCAGAAGAGATCCATATTTATGCCTATTCTTAAGAAAACTGACCCAACCAAATGTGGAAATCATTGAACAATATCATTAATACCACATGCAAGTAAAATTTTGCTGACAATTCAAAAATGACCACAACCGTACATTGACAGGGAACTGCCAGAAGAGGACATGGAATGAGGGATACCATTGCTGCCTTCAGATGGATTGTGGCTGAAAGCAGAGAATACCAGAAGATGTTTACTTGTGATTTATTGATTATGCAAAGCAAAGGCTTTCTACAGTGTGGATCATGACAAGTTAGGGATAACACTGCCAAGAATGGGCATTCCAGAGTACTTGAATGTGCTCATAAGGAACCTGTACATAAAACGAGAGGCACTTCTTTCAACAGAACAAGGGATACTGAATGGTTTAAAATCAGGAAAGGTGTGTGTCAGGGTTGTATCCTTACACCATACTTACTCCATCTGTATGCTGAACAAATAATCAGAAAAGCTGGATTATATGAAGAATGTGGAATCAGGATTAGAGGAAGACTCATTAACAAAGTACAATATTTAGATGATACAACCTTGCTTAATGAAAGCGAAGACTTAAAATACTTACTAATGAAGATCAAAGATTACTGTCTTCAATATGGATTGCATCTCAATGTAAAGAAAAAAATACTCACCATTGGATCAATAAATAGCATCATGATGAAAGAAGAAAAGATTGAAGTTATCAAAGACTTCATTTTGCTTGGATCCACTATCAACATTCATGGAAGCAGCAGTCAAGAAATCAAACAACGTATTGCATTGAGTAAAAGGTCTTGCTGCCCAAGACCTCTTTAAAGTATTAAAGAGCAAAGATGTCAGTTTGAAGACTAAGGTGTGCCTGACTCAAACCACAGTCATGTGGAAGTTGGACAATGAATATGGAAGACCATAGAAAAATTGATATGTTTGAGTTATGGTTTGGAGAAGAATATTAAAAGTACCATGGACCATCAAAGTAACAAGCAATACCCACTTGACCTGGCTTCAATGACTGTATGATCAGAGCTCAACCAGAGAAGAAAGAAGAGGAAAAAAAGAGTAATCTGATACAATTTGATGAACTTGACCTACACCTATGGATGCAGTAGCTCAAAAGAGGGCAAATCCTTACAGCAAGGATCATTCCCACCACCTCCCTACACAGAGTAGACAGGGATGGGCAACTTAGACATTGGCTACCCAAAATGGGGTTGCTACAAAGGCAAGAAGTGACTGGCTTTCAAGAGGAGACCTAGATTCAGAGGGCGTGAAGGAAAGTAGAATCTCCACTGAGTAGTATCCAACCTGTCTAGGCGGGCCTAATGAAATGAAATGCAGATGGGTCTCTTGTGATACAGTAGTGAATAATTGTTATCAGGACTGCTTATGAGGGTTGGAAATGTAAAGGTAGACATTTTGTAGCAAGGAGGGGAGTGATTAACTTTTCAGTCTAGGAGCAGAGGTCCCTGGGACCATCAAGGGAGAAGAGCGGAGAGCGGGACCCTACCCAGAGAAGCAGTGATGCCTGAGATGGAGGTAGAGACGCTGATGTGGAGAGGTGGAACAGTTGGGGACTTTAGACACAGAGAGGGAGAGGGGCTGTGTGCTGATGACCGGGGTGGGAGCAGGCTTGTAGTGTATACCCTTTGGTTGGTTGATGATGCATGGAGGGGACTGTAACCATGGCAATGAAACGATATACGATAGGATGAATGTAAAACTAATGTTCTCCCATGTAAACTATCACATAATTCACAATAAAACATTAAAAATAAATAAATAACAAGCAAATATGTGTTGGAAGATGATGAGACTTCACCTCTCATACTTCGGACATGTTATCAGAAGAGACCAAGGACATCATGCTTGGTAAAGTGAAGGGTCAGAGAAAAAGAGGAAGACTCCCAACGAGATAGATTGGCACAGTGGCAGCAGCAATAGGCTCAATTAGGTAACAGTTGTGAGGATAGCACAGGACCAGGTAGTGTTTCGTTCTGTTGTGCATAGGGTTGCTATGAATCAGAACTGATTCCATGGCACCCAACAACAACAACTTCTTAGTTACAAGGTGGCTTTTAACAAATCTCCTAATTTCTCACTGTTCAGTCTCACTCTGTAGAATGGGAACAGCAGTCGTTCTAACATTCTGGATTTCTCAGGATGATTAAATGACACAATCATCTCAGGATGATTAAATGACACAAAACCATGTCAAGTTTCTACTAAAGAAGCTGGCACATTTTAAGTGTTCTGTAAATATTAACAATTATTTCTATTGCTGATTAACATCCTTTCCTCCAAAAATACAGAGGAAATTTGGTGATTGGACTTAGGGAGAAAACACTTACTTCGACCACTTGGTGAGTAATAATTTGCTGTTTTCGTAGCATCACCAAAGTCATAGGCCACTGGTATCGCCGGGCCATTATCAGTCCAACACTTCCCTGCTCCATATTTCACTGGATATTTCTGCAGAAACCAAACTGGAGGTTATTTGAAGACACCATAATCACGCTACCATAATTAGATATGGAAGTGAGGTGGCTTGTTTCAAGCTAGTTGTCAGTATTCAGAAATCAGTCTTAATAAAAATGACTCCTTTTCCCCTGGGTGTGTTTTTACAACTGTAGCAATGCCCTACTTCTTCTCCCTTTCTCTACCACCCTCATATCTCATTGAGCTGACTTAGACATCCAAGAAACAGTTCAGACACCAGAACACAGTGAAGCAGAAGCAGGAGAAATAGCCAAGTGCTAGCACCTGGTAGTGACATGGGACCTCAGAAAGCTGACTCAATCCCCACCCCAAACACTTTGCTCTCTGATCATTAAACAAACTGCTCATCATCCAGCAGCCCATGTACCTGATAGAGGCCAAACAGATTATGCCCCAGATGCCTGAAGAAGCCGCTGTTAGTATGGTATCGCAGCAGGGAATTGCTCCGCCAAAGTTTCAGTGGGAAATTGTTGGGCACATGCCAGATGCCCAGGTCCTGTGCCTGGATGTCATAGTATCCAGGGTTCTGGAGGAGAAAAGATACCAATCCTGGAAGTCACATAATACAATGGATCCAGTAGACTTAACAACCATCAGTCACACTGAGAGCACTGAGATCCAGGTGACCGTGTGGCCAGCAGTGCTCGAACACCTCTTTCCACACCCCTAAAAAGCTGTGTGGAAGAAGTTATTCAAGAGCTCTTTCTTTTTCAATGCTAGTTCCACACCCTCACTATTGCCCAAATGTGAGTGGCACCAACCTTGTAGTCATCGCTCGTGGCCGCCTCTGCAGACCCAAAGGTGTTATAATTGGCCCAGTTGTTGTCCCCCTGTGGATAGTCTGCTCTGTTGCCCTCCTGACTTGACCAGCGATCACCCAACGTGCATTTCCCTTGCATGTGGTTCTCATGTACACTGGCCACCAGCGTCCAGCCTCCACCCGCAGAGGTCATGTCACAGAACGTCTGGTAGATGACACCATTTTCAGTGCGGAGGAAATACAGGCCATCTGTGGAGGGAACCACCCAGAGCATCTTTGTCTGAGAGCATATGGCCTATTTCAGGCCCCATAACCAGAAATATTCTGGGAAGTTCGGAGAATAAAGGCTCCCATGAATGCATCTGTTAGAAGATAATATTCCTTAGCTCTCCATCCTCATGGTATGAATAGAAGCACTGACTACTTCATCAGGGATGTATTCATAGCAATCAGGCTTAGAAGTTAGAGATACTTTTTCCCTCTGGATAGTAAAATCCCTCTGGCTATGAAAGACCCAAAATCTGTACTCACCCACACCTCCAGTCTCCAGTCTATAGCTGGACATCTTTATGCATCTCAGAACAAAGGGAAGGCATGGTTACTGCCCTTTATAACCATCAGATTACCTAAGTTAGAGTTAACCAACTGCAACACAACCCAGTAGGAGAAGGGCTCTGTCATGACACTCTGATGACCTTGTATATCTCTCCATAGGCCACATGGACAAGGCTGAGCCACAGTTGGCCTGACTGTCACAAAATGCATGTAATCTTCCCAAACTGGGAGCATAGCAGGCTTGCAGCAAGCTGCTCTAAGCTCATTCCTCATCCATTCGATCTTCCAATAAATCTGTCAGAAGACAGCTCTTCATCGCCTCGCAGGTTCTTATGACATGAAGCCTTGCCCCAACTCAGTCTACAACTACAGACTATGAAATTGCTTAGCTGCAGCTTGGATTGACTCCTTAGCAACAAATCACCTCAAAACCTGTGCTTCATTCTCATTGGACTTTGTTAATCTTGATTGCTGTCTACGACTGGCATGGTTGTTGTCACCTTCTAATTGGCCCAGTAATAAACTGTTTGACTAAAAAGGCCAGGTTGCTTCTTTACTGGAAAAATATGTCAGCTTGCTTGAAAACAGCTGTACACATGCAACTGTCCCTCTCTATCCACCTGTAGGAACTGGGACTCAGAGGACCAGCACAAGAAAATACTGATACTCTGGCTACTGCTGGGGTTGTGAGTCATTAAGTTCTCTCAGTGTCTGGAAGATCATGGCTGATGTGACTGGGGTCAGGGGTGAGAGCTTCAAAAATTCCACTGCGAATATCTTTCGGTGAAAGCCAGAGTAGGATAGAGAGTAGTGAAGGGTATCTGTCTCCTGACTCTCATGACTAAGTTCTCTTCAGCTATAAAGCAGCCTCAAGGAAATGATACTGGAATTGTGTCATTACTTACCACGTGCTGTAGGGCAGCTTTTTTTTATTTCCTTGCAGCTTCTTCTCAAGAAATGAAAAGGAGAAGAAGCACAGGGTGTCTTCTCCTGGGGCATCTCAGTAGGATCCGTCTCTGCTAGAGAATTTGATAACATTTCTCATTAACAGCCTGAAGCCACTACCACCATCTTTCTTGTCCATCAGTTCAAAGCCCCTACCTACTGTAGCAGTTCCTCCCTGCTTATGATTGACAACCAAAAATTTCAGAAATTCTCTCTGCTAAGACTAGCTGACTCAAGAGTTAGTACAGGCTTCACACCTGAATTCGTCCACTCAATGAACTTTAATAAAATCTCAGCTATGGTTACCACATAAACACCGGGCAGTCTAAGCCATTTTGACACATTTCATTAAGAAATTACATTCTAGAGGGAGGGAGCACATAGAAAAGGCACCCAATTGAGAATGGTGTAGGGAGAACCATTATGGGTACAAAGATGAGGAACCTTAGGGGAAGGTGAGAGATATAATTCAGAGAAAGTTGATTCTTATAGGATAAACAGGAGTTGACTATAAGACAGAAGGAAGGGGTAGAGAATGATCCAGTAAAGGAGTGGGGAGCACAAAAAATGGCTTGAAGGACTAACACAGCCAGCTGAAGAACTACAAGTCATTCACTTACTGTGGCAGGAACATATGGTGTAATGCAGGAAATGGTGAGAGCCCAAGCTGAAGATTAACTGAGGCCAGAGGATGGAGAGCCTTGTGTATTAGTCTAACCATTTAGAAAGTATTCTAAAAGTCTGTCCAAGTGGAGGAAAAAAGGTTAAGCTCTGAATTAAAGGACTCAAGTTGAAATCCATTCAACCCATGATGGCAAGGTTCCCTTGAGCAAGAATTTAACACCTCTACTTGCACCCTTACCCTTCCCCCCACATCCTGCTTTTCTTCATCATTAAGCAGTCACTAATAAACTCTTCTTAAGGAGCTCTGGTAGTGTAGTGGTTAAGAATCTGGCTGCTAACCTCAGGGTCAGCAGTTCGAAACTACCAGCTGTTCCGCGGGAGAAAGATGAGGCTTTCTGCTCCCATAAAGATTTACAGCCTCGGAAACCCTGCACAGGGTCACTATGAGTCAGAAATGACTCCATGGCACATAACAACAACAGCAATAAACTCTTCTTACCCTTAGAAATCAATTGAGATCACATAAGTGAATGTGCTAAGGAGTCACATAGCAATGTTGTTAAGTATGGAATTGTGAGGCTAGAGAATAGTGGAGGAAGTTCCCTGGAAAAAATCACTGAGCACACAACTCCTTCCTGCCACAGCCACAGAAGCTGGAGTGGCTGGGAGGGGCACAATCCATACCATCAATCCCTGAGCCCCCTCACAGCCACACAGAGGTACAGAGCAGGGATCTCAGAACGTGCCTCAGACAAAACCCTGATTGTGTAAGACCAGACCCCAAATTAAACCAGAAACCAGCCCCCAGTCTGCATCTCGTATCTGCTGCTAAGTGTGGTCTCTATATAACACAGTTCTTTCTCCTTTGGTCCAGAAATACAGAACAATCCAGCCCAGTTCTGCTCTCTTCTCCACTCCACTGAATACCAGGTGTGAACTAAGGGAACTGATGCTCCTTTAAGAAATTTACCTGTACTGTACCCTCTGGTGACCATACACAGAAGCAGAAGGAAGTGGAGTCTGGCCATTTTCTACAGGAAAACAAGATGGACACAGTCACTGGCTGAACCATGCTTTTTCTTCGTCTTACCTTTATTGTCTAAATTTTTTGAATCAGGATATCCCAAATGGAAAGTGATGGGGTTCTGAACATTCCAAGAATACTCCCCAACCCCGACTCAGCTCCACAAACACCCAATGGGCAATGGATTCTTTCCCAGAAACTCCCAATCCTTGAGTTTAAGACCAGACCTAAACTGGTATATAAATCCCTGTACCCACAGACCTTGTCTCAGACTCAGAAATGCCTTCCACACCAGCAAAGAAAGCTCCCTCCTTCTGTTTCACAGATGCCAGAGGGGAGAGTTCCCTGTCAAGTGGGGACTCAGAGCTTCACCTGCAGAGGATCCTTGTGAGGGGTAAAGTGCTGAGTCCTTTATGATGAGACTCAAACTATGCAAGGCCAGCCCAGCCTCACCTTGCCAAGTCCTGCCCAGTCCAGGCTGTTGGCCCCTCCCTCTGATATACTTCCCTTTGAGGGTACCTGAGAATGAGAAGGAATGTGTGGCTGGTGTAGGAGGGAGCATTGGTCTTGGTCATACAGGTGACACTCATCACCTGAAGGAAGGGAAATACTGCTCTGTAAGGGAGTGCTTCATGCATAAGCAGATTAGGTAGACACCTACAGGGTTATAGCACATAATCAGACTCCAGTGCATTAACCAACAGTACCACACCAGGACTCCAGATATAGACACACACACAAAAAAAAGAAAACACCTCACTGCCATTGAGTCAATTCCTACTCAGAGCAACCCTGCATAGGTTTTCTTAGGTGTAAATCATTAAGGGAGCAGAAAGCCTCATCTTTCTCACACAGAGCAGCTGGTGGGTTTGAACTGCTAACCTTCATGAAGATAGTAATCCAGTGCTTATCCTAAAGTGCCACACCAGCACTCCTAGATATAAATACACACATGCTTTTTTTCTGAGTCATTTGAGGTTAAATTTACATACATCATGGCCCTTCACCCCCAAATATTTAAGTATATATTTTTTAACAATAGGGATAATCTCATATATAACCATAGTAGAGTTATCGACTTCATATCATGAGCTCTGTATTATTGTAACTGCTATTTCTTTGGGTATACAGCCCTGGGGTTATACTGAACTGGTACTAATAGGACCACCATTTCTCTGATTTTCATTTCCTCCATTGTTGGGAGACTGCCAGCCCCTTGGAAGCACATAAGCCCCAGGAGATGTCTCCTGTGTGCTAACAAACAAGAATTCTCCATCCCACACACACTTCAACCCACTATGGCTCCTTCCAGTATGTATGCTACTGAGGCCCAGACTGGTTACTGAATCATACAACTGGTCTCCCAACCACCTCTAATGCTGGATCTGCACTCTGGGACAAGAGCTTCACCTCATTCCCAGGCTGTCACTTGTTCATTGCTGTCCAAGGTGCAGAACTAGCCACCTTATTCAAGAAATATCAAAGCTGGTCTTACCTCCATTGTCACAGTGCCTTCAAGGAAACTGCTATTTCTGTTTTTCCTATAGACCCCTCTTCCTTAGATAAGACAGGAGCCTACAGAGGCAAGAATAAAGGACAAACCTGATGGACCATTTTTCACAACTCAGTCACTGTTGTTGAAAAGATTGTGTGGCTTCCTTCTCTAGAAGTTTCTGAATCCTTTTACTTGAGCATTTATATAGACATTTACCTAACAGTTATCTTCTCCTCCCTGAGGGCAGTAGAGTTGATTTTCTACCATAGCTCCAGAGTTACACACAGTACTTGGCACATAGCTAATCTTCAACATACATTCACTGAATGAAAGGATTAACTGAACTTAGAACTAACTACAGGCCTGTCTGCATGCTATCTCTGATCTAATAAAATTTAACTTGTTTTCTCTTCTTTGTTGTAGTTAGTTTACACTATGTGTTTCCACCATCAAATTGTTCAATAAACACTGTAATACATAAAATATTCTCATGTTTCCCTGTATTTTATGAGAACAAAGGGAGAGATGTGGTGTCCACAAAATGACAATGGCAGCTACAGTCAGATCCATGATCAGGAACAGATGAGAACCAAAGAGCTGGCTTAATTGCAGATTCACACAGGAAAAAAATAATTCCCCTTGGGATTCTTCAGGCATACTATGCTGGTAGATTTCCCATAGTACCAGAACTCACACCATTCTACTGGAAGAGCTGAGAAAAATGTGGATCCAGAAGACTGGAAGAAGAGGACACCGTGCTTATATTGTATGTGTTGTCCACTGGATATATTTCTTCACAAATTCTTAACTTTTTTAAATTTGATTTTTCAATATGATGCAAAGCAAAAATGTAAATTGATTTTTGTCAGTCCACAAATTTGGTTTCTTAGCATTATCTACGGAACATTTTCTATCATAATAATGCCTTCACTGAGCATCAAGTACATTCTTATTTAGGGTAAAATTTTGCACTAGTATTATGACATTTAACAAATAAAGTCCTGATGTTACAATATAGATAAATCTTTCAAACATTAACTGGATGAAATACTTCAGTTGAGACAGGATGAGAGCCAGAAGAATTCTGACTTAAGAAACTGTCTATGTCACAGGAAGTCAGACAAACAAAAATAAAGAACAGAAAATAGCTTCATTTATTTCCTTAAATCAACTGGTTTCTTCTCATTCTCTATAAGAGATAGGTGTTGTTGTTAAGTGCTATCAAGTCAATTCCGCCCCATAGTGACCCTGTACAGGGTTTCCGAGGCTGTAAATCTTTATGGGAGCAGAAAACCTCATCTTTCTCCCATGTAACAGCTGGTAGTTTTGAACTGCTGACCTTAAGGTTTATAGCCTGATTCATAATCACTATGCTACCAGAGAGATTAGCCTCTTTAATCTCCCTTGTAAGTTACCTTTCAGACCTACTGATTTTATCTCATTCCCTACGCATGCATACAAACTTGGAGCATGACAGATGGATGATCATCTGCTGTGGATGGAGGAAAACACCAGGTCTTGGAGGGGTCACATGGGAGCTCCAAAGACTAAACATGTGCAGCATCCCAGAATAAGTGCAATGCCTCCCAACAACCTTTTCTGGCCACTCCACCTTAAAACCAACCTGCGCATGCACACTGTTATCATAACTACATCGAAACTAGCCACTTCCCAGAAATCCCCAGCAATCTCTATGAATAAACATGATGCCTCTTCCCACCAAAAAACCTTTACAAAACCTAGCTAAATCTTTATTCCAGAAAACAGAGACTAGCATTGCTGGATCCCCCTCAATTCTTCCCACAAACTACTTTTTCACTTACAATAAACCTTTGTTAGGATGAAACCTCTCTGAGTCTCTCCTAGTCATTCTTGGTCAATAGGAGACAGGAGCCTAGATTAGGCACCAGACCCAAACTGGGGAGCTGTGCCCTATAATACTGTCTAGTA